ATGTATATTGTTCTCTAATGCTATTGAACTGTATTGCTTTATATAGTTACATGGGTTTGTTTCTCAATTTAATTTTTACTAACAAAAGCAGTTTAAACGCTATTGTCAGTCGCACTGTCTTCGCTTATAGAGTTGCATTTTCTACATGGATTTCTTCTTCAGTGCAATTTTTGCTAACCAGAGTAATTTGCACTCCATTGAAAATCTCATTGACTTGCCTAATACAGTTTTCCTTTCCTACATTGTCATACGTCATTAACAATCGCACTGGCTTACCTTATACAGTTTTCATCTTGGCTAATATACGCAGCTTCTTTTGGTATTCTAATCTTCCTACAATCTTTCTTGGTTATTATTTGAACCCAGTCACATAGAGAATAGTTAGAACCTTTTCGTTCTAGAGATTAAATAGCTGATATTTCCTCTTCATTTTTGGATATTATGCGTCTAGAATTGTTATGGTGTCCTCCCTCTAAAGAGTCTATGTTAGACTCTTCCGCCTACTATAAGATTAGTAGGAGAGAAGGCCTTAGAGGAACAGTCGAATAGATTGAACGCTGGTCAACCGACTCACACTCACTAGTCTTGTAATATTCTTTTGTTGCATTTACTGCATAATATATGATATATCTGTAACACTTCTTTTGTTATTTCTTAAACCACTTACTTGGTCACAACAAGAATCGAACTTCCAAGTTCCTACTCTTTTGTAAGAAAGAGCAACTTTTGTAAAGAGGTTCCAAAAAAGCGTTTATGCTATTGTAAATTGCATGCAGTAATTCTTTCGGGTTCATTCAACTGTTTCTCTTATATATGATAACATAATCTAGGTATATAGTCGGCGCTTTTGATGTGCGTTTTCATATTTTCTGTTCTTTAAATACTGATTGGGTTTGGGGTTCTCAAACTTTTTCTTCGAGCGTATCCATTCACCCTGTTCGATGCTTCGTGTTATATTACAGAAGATCAAAACACGGCGAAGATTCGGCGTTGGGCGTACGAGGGTGAAACTAGGAGAAATGATGAAAATTAATTGTCTCATTCGATCCGACGGAAAAAAAAAGACAGAAATTTAGTAAACTTCTAATCTTAAAACCGATCGAAGTACCTACAGTGTGTGGGAAACTTGATTCAACATCTAAATTTCTATCGAGTACCTCTAAGAGAACGTGTACCCCTGCTTTCGGGGGTATAGTTTATCTGTTCCAACACTTTATCTAGATACACAATCAGACAACAAAATGAACGTGATCAGTCGGTCGAGCATCCATTAGTAGTATGTTCCAATGTTTTATCATTAACAGATTTTTCCCTATAGTCTTTTTATCCCGCATCTTTAAACACAGTATAATATAATTGGTTTCTGATAGATTGATTGATACATGTTTGCTTTTTACGGTTTAACAACCTTTTGCAGGTTATTTAAAGGCATAAAATATTTTTAAATTGTAAGAATGTTTGGAGATAATGATGATTTACCGGTACTATTAAACTCATGGCTGGATGTAGATCAATACCTTTCCCAGGGGTATTTTCATGTAAGCGAATATAAGGAACTCGACCAGAATTGGAACTTGGTTCACCATTCTCCAGTTCCAAGCCATTATCCATTGCACTACCAGCATATCGAAGCTTTAAGCTTCTGGTATTCCTAAGGGTTCACCCATTTAGTTATTGACCAGGCTCAACGTTCCTTAACTTCGGCGATCGATGTTTCAACGTGATATGGCCGTAAGCCAACTTGTGATATAACTCTGCTCGCTATGGCTGCACAATCTCAAAAAAGATTCCGTTTGTGATATTTTTATTCGATCACCAATGATCTCATCGATTGTTGATCGCCAATAACGTCATCGATTCCTCTGTCAAATCAAATAAATCTGTGAGGTATATTAAAGGAAATTGTCGAAGAGGGTTGTTAACCGTTAATATCTGGCAATTTATTTAAAACTTTGTAAATGTTACCAATTTTACCATCGGGACGTTTAATGTTTGAGGACTAGTGACAAAAGAAAAGCAGGAATTATTGACTCCGGACGTTGATAGCTATAACATAGATCTATGTTGTTTTCAAGAATATATAAATCAAAAAAGGTCATGATATTAATATCCTATTTAGTAAAGTAAATAACTTTGGAAACGGTAAACATGATGGAAATTGTTTTGTCATCAATACGAAATAGCAGAATAACATCCATAGATATTGGACGGACAACAATACTATAGACGTTGAACGACGACATTAAAAGAACTATCAATAAAATTCGACCATAGCCTGTAAAATCTTTCAAGAGTTTGGAAGACATGCAGGATTCTGTCAGTTAGCACAATACAGGGAGGTTTGGTGAGGACTGATATTTCCACTGATTTCCACTGTGCTTCAAAAGAGCCCTGATGACGGTGATGAGGTTGGGAATGCGGGGTCATTTTACGACTACTATGGAAGCCCGTAAGTGTCAATAATTTTGTGAATTTCTCTCCGGCACTTGAAAGGTATCGGCAATACGCTTTGACGTTTTGTCCTTCGATAGAAGGAACAACTTGATTAATTTTGCTGTGTACAGCTTCTGTATGGCTGATAACGTGCCAGAAAATCAACGGACGACGCGGAGAGCATGCACGTGATTTAACATGGCCTCCGACCCCGCTCCGTCATCATACGCGTACACATGCATGTAAGCTTTAGTATTTAAAACAATCACACAAGAATGAATGCACTTTAATGCGCTAAGATTTGAACACGACATGTTGAGGCACACACATACCAATACATACATACATACATACATACATACATATATATATATATATATATATATATATATATATATATATATATATATATATAAATATAGTTAAGTAATGAAAAGTTTGGTAATCCGTATGGATAATCCCAAGGAGGATGTAATCCAGAGAGCTCAATGTTAAACCAGAGCAATGATTAATTCAATTTAAATAGAAAACAGAAATCCTTAAGATCCCGATCAATAAAATTCGATCAAAAACATACATATGTAGATTTTCTAAGTAGTGGATTTTTATTAATCCGACAGATTGTTTACCACTTTAAAACGTTATTTTTAGTGGATACTCGTATTTGAGTAGACGCTCCGTTTATTTATTAAACAATTTACTTATTTTCGTCTACCGGCCTAAATGTTCGAGAAATCTAATTATAGAAACATTTCCAGAAAGCGTAATTTTTTCTTTAATTTGATTTCACGAAACATTCAGGTCGATAGATGAAAGTAAATAAATAAATATACTGTTTAATAAATAAACAGTGCCTCTACTCAAAAACGAGAATCCACTAAAACTAATGTTTAAAGTTATAAACCACACACACACACACACACACACACATACATACATACATATATATATATATATTTCTTTTCTGGACATAATGTATTTAAAAACTGTCCTTATATTATGTATATCCGGATGTGTTCGGCTGTTCTGTTATCAAACTTTTTAATTTTATTTTTAACTGAATATACAGATTCTCTTTTTGTGTAAATATGCCAATATGTTATTTTCATTTTCCGAACAACAGCATGTTTAGACAATTAAAAAAAAGAAACTATCCCCATCACGTCACACCTCACCTACGTTACAAAACTCTTTGCCCCACGTTGCTGCACTCACCAGTTCTGCTTAAACCACCATTTTGTTTCTAAGGAACACTGATTATGCTTTAAGAAAATCGAAAGCTTGGACCATATTTCTTCCAACATGAACTTTGGACAATTTCTGATCGAATTTCCTCCTAACCAGAGAAGGATTATTCGTAATTTGTATAAGTCGATCAACACAGAACGTCTGTTGCCTGTAATAAAAATTTTCTTTTACAGGTTGCAATTGGTAAATTGTCGCCATTTTATATTTTCAATTTCGCGCATGCGTGTAGTCTTTTTTTATTTGGTCGACTGTACAGTATAGTAGCGTCAGTTGGGTACCGACTGTGAGAAAAAGAGCACCATGACGCAATTCACTCCGCCAGAAAGAGTTGGATGAGTCTAATGATGATTACGAAGATACGACAGCTCGGAAAACTCTGATAAATAAAGAACTCCCGAATTTGTCGGCGAGGGCCTCAGGCACAACACGTGCCTTGAGGTGATAGTGTTGCCTTGTTGGGTGGCTGCTGGAAGACCCTATGTCGGGTATCAGGACTCTGCATCATGCCACACAAGCAGGAGAACCCAGTCATTGATGTCAGACAATTATTGCGACGACATCACCTCTTACATCTGCAACCTACTCGATTATGTGTGGGGCGCAGTTGAGCGAGAGACAATCAAAATTCCTTGTAACACCAAAGATAGTAGCATTCATCAACTTAAACAAGGAGACCGTCCGGAAGAGTTGGAAGAGATCCCGAAGTCGTCTCGAGGGTGTCGTTGAAGACGATAGCAATTTTATTGAATGAATTTACTCTTTAGTATTTCAAGATATTTTTGTATAATTTTGCTAAATAACCCTGTTAAAATGAGATGTCCTATTTTAATTTTTGCATACTTTAGACGACGATTTATCCATCGCAGTATTTGCTTTCCAACGTCGAATTCGAAGTAGCCTTATTCCTACTGTCTGAAAATTGGTTCACCAAGCGTAATGCTCACAAAGGAATGTAGTGTGAGTCCTTACTTCTTTCGACTCGTGTGCACTGTTCAAATTACATTTCGTATATAATTTTATTTTTCAAATGTGTTCATTATCAGAGTAAAAGCATTTGTTTTAGCGAATGTTTCTCCGGGTTTAATTTTGTTTCATGAGAGAATTTAAAAAACGAAACACATTTCAAAGCAAATATTAATGAAAGGAAATATAATTCAGCGTTCGATTGAAATTAAATTATTTAATAATTCATGAACGTGTTTACGTCCTTTTGGAAAGGGCACACACACATACATGCACACACGCACACTAATCCATACGAAATCGACTTATACACTTCAGTATATATACAGGTAGGTATAAGGTTTACTGATATTAACAGTTGAGAAATGGATGGAAGAAAGAGAGAAGAAATTGGATGGAGGAAAAAGAAAGAAAGAAGAAAAGTGGGTAGGATGAAGTAGAGAAGAAAAATGGGAGTGTTGAAGAAGCGAGGAAAATGGGTGGGAAGAAGAGAAAAAGGAGAGATGAAACTCATAGAAGAAAGACGATAAGAGAATATTGGGAAGAAAAAGTGAAAAATAAAATTAGATAGAAAAAAAAGAGAGTGGAAAAAAATAAGCGGAATGAAGGAGAAAAGAAATTGTTGGATGAAAGAAAAGGAGAAATTGGAGAGAGGGATGAAACAAGAAAAAAACTGGTAGAAGGAAGAGGAAAAGAAGAAATGGTGGGGGGGAAGAAGAAGAGATGGAAAACTGGGTGAAAGAAAAGAGAGAGGAAATTGGTGGGAGGAAGGTGTGAAGAAGAAACTGGTTAGAAGAAGGAAAAAAGAAGAAATGGACGGAAAGGAGAGATGGAGAAATGGGTGAGGGAAAAGAGAGAAAAAATTGTTAGGAATAAAGAGTGAAGGAGAAACTGGGAGGAGGAAGGAGAGAAGAAAAAAAAAAGACTGACAGGAAGGAATGAAAAAGATGTAGAGTATAGCAAATTAGGGGGTTGAAGGAGAAAAACAAAAGTTGCATATGAATTACAGTACTCGGAACTATCGAAAAACCACAACAATCCAGGCGATTCAATAAACATATACAAAACATATAGACTACAGTCATCGCGTTATGATCGGATCAAGTGTGGATCCCATTCTTGTGCTAAAACTAACTACAACATTTATCGTGCATCTCGTCGCAGGGTAATGGCCAGTGAGTAGACCTAGCTGATTGATTCTCATTCAATGTTCAATACTTATGAATTGATACCAAATCTAAGTTAAATCCTCGACAATCAAATCTTAGGAGTTGATCTCTCCACTGACCTAACTCTAGTAGCTCAGTTGTGATGGTGTTAGGAAATTTGGGTGGTTGCATTCAATGCCTCAAAGAACAAATTAGTGACTTTCCACAATCGCCGATCGGACCCAGAACTTTCACTAATCATGATGACCGGATGTTTCCGCAGGGAGGTCCGTGCCTTCAGCGCCTATGTGGGCCTGAACTAGAACTCGTACATTGCTAAAGATGCTTGAAAAAATGGTCGGCTCCCTGTACCACTCCAGCAAATTCCTAACTCCTCCTGATATCCTCTACTTTTACATATATGGGCGGGAGCTGCCCAGACTTGACTTTTCACTCTCGATAGAATTCAAAAGCGTATCCGCGTCCTTGTAGGCGATGAGTTATTTTCCATTTTTCAATCTTTCCCACAGACGAGACATCGCAAGACTTTCACTGCTCTACCGCTATTTCCATGAAGAGTGTACAGATGAACAACATTCCTCCAATTCTAACCTTCACAGCCAGGACCCGTCATTCCACGCACATTATAACGAACCACCCTCATTCCCTTCATACTGTTGAAGTTATCGAAGCCTATTACGAAAATGAACATTCAAACAGAAAAAGCATTTCGCGCACTTTGCGATTTTTGGGGTCAACATAATCGTTCAACCGAGAGTGCAATTAGAAACGATGTTAAGTTGTTGTGGAGAAGTTCAATTCCTGCGCGCGATGACGAATAGAGGGGTCTGGATTTTCGGCTACATTCTCGTGCACTGTAAACGAGCCCGCAATAGTGTTTTCACAACTGCCACCGACCCAATTTATTTGAATTTACGAACAATTTTTCCAAATGCACTTTTGAAACTTTAACACGTTGTTTGATTGTTAATCTTTCCATGGTTGAAATTGCCAATGACTTAAGTTGTTAAATCTGAAAGAAAAAGAAAAAAAAAATACTAGACGCTTTAAATTAATTTAAAATCGGTCCATGTTAATGGAACACCGTTTATATATATATATATATATATATATATATATATATATATATATATATATATATAAGGCTTAAACACTAATATTCCATGGACATAATTTATTCCATTGGAATCGTAAATACGATCCAATTCATCAGACCTACAAATTCAAAAAGAAAACAGAAAAAACAACACCGGAAATAAAAATAGAATTTAGAGAGTGTGTAAGTATGAGAATGTGGGACGGATGTTAGAGCTAAAGAGAGGGGTAACACGAGAGAAGGTGGGAGATTAAACCTTAACAGAGAGAAATTTAGGAGAGGAGTGGATTCTATCCTCTTGGAATTTTTTATTCAAAAAAATATACATGTATGTGTATCCACCTATGTATATATACTTATGTATGTGTATATTTACCACTAATATTATCTATATCTATATATATATATATTCATTAAATTATAAAACTATTAATCTCTGATATATTTAGTTATGGCTGAGCCCCAGGGCGGCGTCCCTCAAGGCATTACCGCTCTTTCGAGATGGGGTTCCGTCATTATTCGGCGCCTGAGGGATCCTCAAAAGGGGAAGTGCCGTGGAGGCTCGAGCAATTTTAGTAAGGCCAACAAATGCTACTTTAAACTCGACCTTGTGTCACATTCTGTGCGAGCGAACGCATGGATAAATACCCCGTACTTAATTCTGGATTAAAAGAAAGAAAAATAATCGAAAATTAAATAAAATACAAAGAATGTTCGACATTGAATGACATAGCAGGGGTCGAAATGTCGTTAAATATCCAGAGCTGAGGCAAACATATCTAACCTAACCTATTTGTCTAGGGGTGGATATATGTATGAGATCGAGTTTGGCATGCATTTGTAGCTAATTTGTCTGCGCGTCTTCTGAATTACAGGAAGCAGAAAATGCTAATATGGTCATAGTGGCACTCCTGCTAAATTGTTTGCCCATTAAGCTTCTCATCTATCTATTTCTTCCCATGCCTATTCATAAGTTTAACTGAACATTTAAAACAGGATCTAGCGGAAGTCGAAACTCCTGCGGCGGAAACTGCGTATCGTCCGCCCTAAGGAAGTATTATGGTCGAAAGCGTGCCACCTGGCCTTCCACATATTAATCTTAATCTTGAAGTCCAAATGCGATGTTTTTTTTACCCAGTTTTTAAAACAGGAACTCCTTTTTTATTGTTTTTACATTCAATTATTAATATTCTCAATTTCCTTTCTGTTGTTTCAGATTTCTGGGCATTCATGTCAATATGAATAATTATTCCGCAGATGGCGTGTATTCAGTAACAGTAAGTAAATATAGAGATAAGTATATTTTATATCACTATATATATATATATATATATATATATATATATATATATATATATATATATATATATATATATATATATATATATATTTAAAGACATTTTATATTTAACATTCTTTTTATTGATACAAGTTTTTAAGTAAATGCTCTGTTTATAATAAACATTATTAAATAACATTTACCGGCCTGAATGTCCGAGAAATTTTCATAGAAAATATTCGTACTTCGACACGGAACCTATACGGAACCGTCATATAGCCTGGCGTGGTTTACCTCTCGGCCACAAAGGATCGTCCGGTTGGCAAGGTCGAATTTACTGCTTATAAACTTCAATCTTCCATGAATCTCTCAACCGAACGATCCTTTGTGGATATATTAATATATTTCAACCTTGAAAATGGCTAAATGTATAGGCGAAAGCGCTCGGAAAGAAAGAACAATCGGATAGTTTTATATAATTTATCATCCGAAAAGAAAAAAAAAATAAGATCGCATGAGGAATTGTATAAAGCACTAAATCTAAACACCTTGTTTGTCATATTCAATGAAACATGCATGAAAGAAGGATTGCTACCTAAATACACACACATACACACACACGCGCATATGTGTGTGTGTGTATATATATATATATATATATATATATATATATTTATACATATATATAAGTGAACATTGAAATCAACACTCAGAGGCGACAGAATATTCCATGCTAGACGCAATCGTCAGGCCGCGTCTAGCATGAAACAGCCTGTCGCCTCTGGAGTGTTGACCAATGTTTCACTTTTATATTTATATTTACATACGTTCTATCTCTGATATTGAACACTTTATCCATAAATATAGCACACCTTAAAACTATATTTCTTCATATATATATATATATATATATATATATATATATATATATATATATATATATATATAAACAAATGTTTAGAGGAACAAAATTTATATATAGTTTTAAAAAACAAGGAATGTATTGATTTTAATTTTAAAAGTCCCTAAGGCCCTTTCAACCAACATCTCATCAGGAGACAATCGTTGGATCAACGAAAAGAATATTAACGACAAGCATATTTTATCTATCTTACCAAGTCGTATTTTGGAAGGTACATGCTGATTGATTACACAAAAATTCTAAACTAAGAAAGAAGAAACAAACAAAAAGCTAACACCTACCTAAGCAATAAATAACAGCCCTCAATGCCAAGACTATGCAGACAGATCAAGATCGCTTCAGAGCGTCAACCCTTAACGTGGCTCAGCTCCAGAAGGATCTGTAATGTAATCAAACCTGCCACAAAGGATCGTCCGATTGGCAAGGTCGAATTTCCTGCTTATAAACCTTCAGTCACATTTTCACCAACGGTACGTGGCTTTCCCTTGTCTTTTCTACAAAAAATTTCATGTCAGCAGTTCGGAGGGGATTTTTCTTGGCCTCTCTACTGCATGAATTTAAGCGTGCAACTTGGGGTCACCATTTTACTGTTGTACTAGCTAGATGCAACCATCAGATCTATTCTAATAGTTACTTTCCTCACATTTCTTGTCCGTGGAACTCCCTTCCGATCGCTTGCGTTTCTGGCATCTACAAGCTTCAAAAAATTTAAATGTAGCATCAATCGCCATCTTCTGTCCTCCAGAAACCTGTTACTTAACTGTCCTTTTACATTCACTTTCATTCCTTTTTACCCCCTCCCTGCATCCTGGTGACGTTATTGCCTTGATTAGAATGAAATGACAAAAAAATGAAGACATTAAGAGATGCAGAATCACTAAGAGTCGTAACCAGATAAGTGTCAGATGGAATTAGAATTTTACGGCTTATCAACCATTTTCAGGTTATTTAAAACGTATCTTTCGATTGTAATATTTAAAAAAATAGTCATTTTCTAATACAAGTCCTGCTATTTAACATATAGCTGGGGGAGTAGAGGTAGATTTATTTATATTTTTTGCTCGTATAAGTAAACCAACTTTTTCTCTTTTATGCAAGTTTGATTAAAGAGTAACGAAAGTTCTTTGTTGAGGATATTTTATTTATTTTTTTTAACATTACGGATTGTGGAGTTTACCCCACTTACTTTGATAGCTAAAAGCTGCCACTAGGGGACGCTTTCTGAGCCTATAAATACACGGTAATATTTTCTATCATTCTCGCTTTCCTATTTTCCTTATACACTCTAGGATGTATGTCTATTGTTTAAAACGTGATTCCCATTGGGAACCGCACACACAAACACACACACACACAGATTTTATTTCATTTTCTCTAGGACTTCTACACACATTTTACAGACACGAACAATTTACTAGTCTTTAAATGTTTTCATGAATGTTCCTTGTTTTGTCAGATACATACAATATCATTGTCTGTTGCACTCAACAATGTAACTCTTTGTTTTGTTATTAATACATTATCGTTTGTTTGTATATATATATTGGTTTTAATATTTAATATCTAATCTTTGTATTTTATTAACCGGACGCACATGCAAGTGCGCCATTTTTGTTGTGGGATAAACATTCCAGGAGACACGTATTTTCTATCCAAACACTAACGTATATACTACCTGCAACAGGATCAATTTTTTGGTTTCAGGTACGTATTTAATGGAAAAGAAATGGTACTTGAT